TACAAATTAGTTAGAGGGGACCAGCAGGCATTGAGGGAGTCCCTGTTTCCCCGACCACTACTAGGAGTGACTAGGAATAATGGTCACAAGCTGGCAGAGGGTAGATTCAGATTAGACATCAGGAGGAGCTACTTCATGGTCAGGGCAGCTAGGATCTAGAACCAACTTCCAAGTGAAGTGGTGCTGGCTCCTACCCTGAGGGTCTTTAAGACAAGGCTAGACAATCACCTTGCCAGGGTTGTTTGACCCCAGTACTCTTTCCTGCCATGGCAGGGGGTCGGACTTGATGATCTGCTCAGGTCCCTTCCGACCCTACTAACTATGAAACTATGAAACACATTTGATCTGTATGTACAGTATTCTCAAAGCATTTCTGCTCCTCTTATAATTTAGTTGGAGAAAAGACAAAATACAGGTAACTATAGAAAATAACAATATATGAAGAGCAACACAACAGTAAAATTAAATTATATCAATTTTTGGTTACTTATCAGTTTGACTTTTTCCCCATTAAACACTTCCAAAGCCCAGCAACACTATGCCCACCCCCATGCTCCCCCAAGTGTTTTAATTCAACATAGAAAAATTCCCTTTTGCTCTGATTCTCAATTTTCACTCCCATGTCCAGGTTTTCTCCCAAATCTTTTTACCCCAAGAGATACAGTTGGGATGACAGCATGTCATAGTACAGGTTCTGCTGCTTAAATACCATACATATGCAGGCAGTTAAATCACATGGTACATCAAGGCACTATGCAGGGGGTTAACAATATATGTTTCTTGGGAGTCCGAGTCACTGAAGCAACTGGAATAGGATATCACTGAATATCAACTTGGCTTCTCCAGACACTTACATGTCACTTTGATTGAATGCACAAAAAGGAGCATATTGAGACAAGGTGTTTATGCCTTGGCCCAATGATTCTCAACCTCATTAGACTAAGGGCACCTTTTGCAAAAGACCAGCTCTTAGCTTTCACTCATTTTTTGACCATGGAGCAATTCTTGAGCTCTTGCATGGAATTCTGTAAGACCACAACAAATCAGAATGGTTTTGACACCCTTGACTTCCATTGGAAATCTCTGGGTTTATCTTGTAAAGCATGTGCAGACGTTTATATACCCAACTCTGCTAATATTGTGTGGCACCCCACAGCACTTTTCTTAAAAGGATCTCATCATACCCTAGGCCTAAGGTTCTCTGGAACGCTGACTGAGAATCACTGCCATAGCCCTCGCTATAAAACCTGCTGAGGAGAGGAGGATAAATATTGTCAACATGCTGCAATAAAGTAAGATAGCGATACAGGAAAATTGGGTATCACCTCAACAAGTATGAAGCACCAGGCAAGAGACAGACAGCATGCCCTGGCAAGAGATGGCAACAGCCCAAGGGCAGGAAGTGGAGACAGGGTAAAAGAAAGTCTCCAGTGAAAACTGATATACTGTGCTGGGGTTAGGGCACACAACACGATTAATACAGCCTGCAAAAACCTAGAGGTTTGTATTTGCATGAACCCAATCCTGGTGCAGTTTAAAGGATCCCAAACTGTAAATGAACCCAAGCAGAAAGCATCAAGCATTGCAGCAGCTACAGCTCACCCAGGCTTGTGCAGCATCTTTCTTAATTGACCCAAAAATCCTGGGTTGGCAATAAACATTTCACAAGTTCTAATAAGGAATACTTATGGGAAGTAGGAGTTTTGGAACCTTCTTCTCAGCTCCTTTCCCCACTAAAGGCACTTCTCTGCCTTATGGGTCAGCAAATGCATACCTGAAGCAGCCAGGCAATTCCCATTGATTCAGTATGGCAGCCCAGGAGAAAAGCTATCAGCTTTTTTTAAAGAGATTTAGCGAACCAGATGCCATTTTTGAAGCACGAGAAAGGAAGAAGTAAAACCCACTTTTCTATAGGAACAAAGATTAGCGGCCTGGGTGCCAGGCACTACTCCTTCCTTAAAAGGTAGGAGACAAAGTGATAGACAGGTAATTACCTGGAAGGGACCCTTGGGAAATTCCAGGAGATGCTATTAGAATCCTTCAACTGGTCTGAAGGATTTTACTTGTCTCTGTTAGTTTCAATTGAAGCTCCCCAAGAAACACTAACCCAATAAATCTGCTGCTTCATTCTAGAAGATAGCCCACCAATCACCAGAGACTGTTACATAAAAAGGATTTTCTTGCTTCCTCATTGTCAACAATGTAAGAGGGGCAAAATATAGGAGAGATCTGCTAGAAGCAAATTTACCTGTCTGCAGTTTGTTATTTGATTTGCAAGTTTTACCTGGGGGTACCTGCACTTAGTCCAATTTTAAATGTGTATCACGTGCGCACCCTCCACTTTGCACCCAAACTTATCTTAATTGAGCTGTTGTCCATGGTTATTTTTACAGGGTAATGTTTCATTTTGGTATCAACTGGGAACATGACACAAAAAATCATATGGCTGAAAGCAGGAAGAAACATAAGGATTACATGGAATTCTTCACCAGATATAGCCACAGAATTTAATCTTTAAGGATGTCTGCAAGAAAAACAACTGTACATTATCCTATTCTGGCACTTCTGTCTGGAACTGGAAGGAACTGAATACATATGAAATCTCAAGGAAAGCCTCATGCTAACACTATTTTTTACCTAAACTGACATTATCCAAATGGAGACCTTTTGGCCTTCTTTTTGTTCTGTGAAGGCCATCATGCCATTGACTGAGCACAGAAGGCCTAGGCAGGGTTGCACAAGGGTATGGAATAAAATGACAGTATTAAGAGACTACACCCCCGACACTAGCTATGGCACCCCACCATCTTTCCAGATTGACTAAATCCTTCCACCACAACTGTGCCAGGCTACCTACAACATAGTAAGTACTTTCCCCACACCCTTACCTCTGCTATAGTTTCAAACAAATCTTGTGCAATTTCTCAATATAAACTGTATCTAAAGAAACAGGAGCAGAAAGGTGTTTTTGAAAATGTACAGAAACTTCTCTTTGGTTGGTAAAATTAATACATCTAATTGGAAAGTGATCAACATGAGGTAGATAATCAACAAAAAATCCTCAGACAAGCATTTTTAACATTGCTTTCATTTTCCTAAATTAAATGAATTTCTAAATGAAATTTAACAGGCAAGACACATAAGCAGGCAGATAAGAATTACCTTTTGCCCCTCTAATGAGGCCGCCGCCAATTAGCACATTCCTGGAGCTTCTAATTCAGACAAGGAAAAAAAAAGGAGCTGGGACTGATGTCTGTGTCCATAAGGCACAGTATTTCCTAAGAGAAAAAAGAAAGTAAGGGGGTAGTTAAGTTTTAGTAGCTGTAACATTGTTTGATGAAGTAGCAGTTTACAAACAAATCCTTTAACATGGTTATGGTATTTCTCCTTCTACAGTCCCACATACATCATCAGCAGATGATGTATATGGAGCAGGTAGGGGTTGTCCATCTTGCTAACAAACCAAAGCAAAGACTGAAAGCCAAGTCACCTGTTAATAAAAATGCAGATAGATTCATCTCAACTGCTGGAGATCTATACAAATTTAAGGGAAGAAAAAGCAAGACAACAGAGCTAAAATAAACCCACAGACAATGGATGCAAGGGACAGTCAAAAATATTCATGAGTTTTTGCTTTAATTTTTACATAAACTTGCTTCAGTCCCAGTTGGGCCATTTCGGTGAATATTCAACATGCCACTTTTACTGGCAAAATAGGTGTGTGGCAGTACACTTGCAGTGCCTGCCACATTAACGGCTGAGTCAAGCAGCCAGCAGGTGCTTGATTGCGGCAGTCATGTTAAAACACTAGCTGCCTATATAAACACAGGAGTTTGCTGCTGGCAGCCAGGCAGAAACATTGTCTGGCTGAGCTGCATGGGACATCTAGCAGGTAGGAGCAGGAGGTTCTTGGTCCTGGCTGGGCACAACCTAAAACTGCACCCTACTGGGGAAGGGTGGCCTGGTGGGGCTCCTGGTAGTGTCAGAGTCCCCAGGAAATGCCAGGCCAGTTACAGTCAGGGTGCCTTAACCCCTAGACCTTACAACACAGTGGATACAAGTGGGCCAGGCATGGCTATAGCCACTTGAGCCCAAAGAGGGTGCAAGACCCAGGCAGGGCCAGGCACAGCTGTGGCCACTTGAGCCTCCACAAAGGAGGGAAAGCCCTGAGTCCCAAAGGAGGGGAGAGATGTGTAACCCCAGAGAGGGGGTGGTAGTGAGGGCCTAAAAAAAGGGTTGAGTAGGGCTGTGGGTCAGCCTGAATGGCAGCCCAAGGGGGTGTGCCAAGTAGGGCTGTGGGACAGCCTGAAGGGCAGCACAGGGGGCAACCCCTTGGAGAGCAAGTTGAGAGAAGTTTGGAGCCCCACAAAGGGGAACAGAGGGCTGGGAGCCCAGTAGGTGGGGTACAGTGTGCATTTGTGTAGTTTTATGTAAAGTTGCCCCAGGAGGGGCTGGGGCAAGCTTGGCCCAGGTCAGGAACTTGGCTGGCCACTACCCAGGTGAGTGCTGCAGGAGAGGCCCAAGAGACTACGTCTGCCATCCAAGGCGTGATCCGAATAAAGCCTACAGGAGCTGCTCCCAGAGGAAGCAGGTCAGAACAAGTTGTCGATGCGAGGGAGACCCTGTGAGAGGGGGTGGAGTGCAAAAGGCCCTAGTGAGAGGAGGACGGAGTGACTGTGTGTGTGAAAGGCCTGACAGTGAGGGCTAAGCTTGGCCCAGCTCCAGGCCAGGAGCATAATGTCACCATGGATGCCATCTGTGAGGCATGGGCTGTGGTGTAGGGGAGGTTCAGAGCCACAGATAGTGCCCCCTGGCATCGGGGTGTGTAATGGGCAGTCTTCCACGTTTTCCACTAGCTTGTGGGAACAGCAAAGTTTTGGCAGGAGAGACTGAGTAGACTGCTCCATAGAGACAAGTGGGCAGCCCAGCATGAGATCCAGCCCCAAGCATGTCCCCTGTCACAAGGTGGAAGGCAAATTTAAACATCAAATGCACAAAGATATATACATATACAGGTATCCCCCCCCCCCCCCCCCCCCC